ATATTATTTTTTTTAAATTTAATACTGCTAAGACATAATAATTTTTATTTAAAACACTTCTGTGGTTAGAAGTACATGACTACGACCAATGATTGCAAAAAATAAAGGCTGGGGAAGTACTTTCAAGCCAGGTAAACAGGCATGTGTGTATATATATATATACACACACACATTCAGTTTTGCTGATTGCAATAGAAGCAAGGAACACAACTGTATGTATAGCAGTCCTATATACAGTCAAAAGTTGTTAATCCGGACTCGTTGGGACTTCGGCAATTCCGGATCATAGATCATCAGTTTAAATCTGGTAAGATGGCATGCAGAAATTATAAAATTAAAAATATTAAACCATAATTTATGAAATAAAGAACAATTATGATCTAAAAGGTATCAAAATTTACAAAAAAAAAAAAAAAAAAAAAAAAAAAAAAAAAACTTAATATTTATTTGTTTACTTTATTAAACATTTCTTTCAATGTAAGTTGTTTAAGTTGCTTCGTTTTATGTGATAATACTTTCTCTTTAATTCTATAAACAGACATAATTTCTTCTTCAGTTGCAAAGTTCCGCTGTTAAAGTCCTATAATTGCTGTGTCGAGAATACCGACTAATTTGTCAATCGAAATTTTTTTGTTTCCAATAACCTCTGTATCACTTTCTTCTTTATCGGAAGCGAATTATAATGACGAGGAATTTGATTTATATCATATCAAAGACGGAGTACATCGAGATGAAATACTACATTTAGTAAGGAATTATAAGCCAAATAAAATAAAAACATCTGCCCTGAAGATAAAGACAGTGCTGACAAATCAACTTCCAATTCATTGCGTGCCGCAGCGTTAAAGATAAACAAAGGATATGCCTATATCCATTTTTTGTAGCAATTCCACTTTTTGTTTAATGAACTTCGAAACATACTTTCGCTTTGTAGATCCTTTATATATTAGTAAATATATATAGGAAATTCTATTTGACGTAATCGAAAGTTCAAGCTTACTTTTATAAAATTGCTCTAACAGTCTGCAAAAAATAATAAGGCGTATCCAATTCAAAGATTCAGGGACAATGCAATCTGCAACATTAACTGAATTAGATAATTTTAGCTTAGCTTATACCGTCAGTTATACATTCAATGGGCAAGCGTAAACGTATTGCGCACATGCATATTCGCAGCCTTAAAAGTCTTACGCGCATGTGTGAACGCGACGCATGGGCAGAAAGTTTGTAGCTTTGAGGTCCGAATTATGGGTGTCCAAATTAATGACTTTTGACTGCACAAAATTTTAATGTCCTGTGGCTAATCAGTTTTGAGTTCTGTAAGATACATACTATGTACGTGCAGACATCATGAAAACTCCTTCAATATGCCATTTTACAATCTGCTTTGGGGAAAAAGAGGAAATATATAATAATAATTTCTAAAGCAGCCTATGAGGTAAAATAATATCTGATGTCATATGTTAACTGAAGAAATCCTGTAACTGCAACAGGTCTCTGCCCATACTAGAACTGAAGATTCAAAGAAAATTCAACGACAGAAAAACCACAGGCTTCTGAATTTAATGCCAGAGGTCATTCAGTAATTATAGGATTAATAATCAATCACACATAATTCAGGAATGAAAATCAATCCAGAAGGCACAAATTTTAATGCTAGGAATTGCCCAAACTGAATTCAGTCCTTATCTAAGTGTACCATGCATTATTGATATTGCCTCAGAACATTCATAGATATCCCATAGAAAAAATGTACTTTTTGGATATAATTAAAAATATATAAGCATTAGTTAGTATTGTCATATGAGCATTATAGACTGGTTTCATTCTTTGCTGGATACAACATCCAAACCTGTAAATTTTTTAATTTATTATACATTCTTCATATTTTATACTGAGATAAGTGTAATAATTTGAGCAATTATTTTAAGTTTTATCGTTAGCAGTATTTCCTGATATAAATTTAAATGGTGGAATGGCTAAAGTTTTGAAATATTGGTTTAGCATTAATTATATTTTGGCAAAAAAATGGGCTGGCTCAACTTTGTCCTTTTTACATTCTGCCTAAAAAGTCTTCCACAAATGCCTTTATTCTCAATAGAAATATTAAGCGCTTTACCATATTCCAATCTAATCTCATCTTACTTAAAATAATTACCAAAAGATTATTACAGTGGTGTAGCTAGGGTGGGGCAAGGAGGTGCATCTGTCCCTGGGCGTAGCATCCAGGGGCACCAAACTGATGTTACAAAATTTTAGAATGAAATGTTTTTCATTCTTGGCACACAGAAAGGGGTGCAAGATCTTTAGCTGTCCCTTGGTGCTGAAAAACCTAGCTACGCCTCTGGGTATTATAAAAATGGTTTATGAAGAGATATTGTGCAAAACCTTTAGCACTTTAAAATGAATTCTAATATTAAAAATGTTTTAAAATAATATTTATTAGTTAGACTAGGGTTTCTCATTTGAGTTGATGAATTTTTAAAGGGGCTCTATGATGGTCAACGATTCAATATCCAAATATGCAATGACAATTGATCAGCACAATCAAAATCCCACTGACTGTAAAAAAAAAAAAAAAAAAAAAAAAAAAAAAAAAAAAAAAGTATTAAGTAAAAAAATATAATGTAATTTTTAATGATAATATAAAACCTTATTATACAAATAAATCAAGTCATATTCAAAACATATGAGTGCACTAAGTTTGGTAATTTATAAATCATCCAAGAGAAATATCCCAAAATTAAAGATGTTACCAAACCAATATTTACAGAATTTTTTTCCCTGTTACCTACTGGAGAGAAGCTTTAGTCAAGTCAATAACTTTCTACAGGAAAACAAGAAACAATTTAGCTGAATATTGTCTAAATGAGCTGATTTAAGAATTAAGCAGTTTTATGCCAAATATTAAAAATATATATATATTTCAATACATCAAGTGCAGCCATAACATTTATTAAAATTGAATTTTGGGGCAATTAGAATCTGTGATTTTGCATCTTTTGCAAGTTTATTTTGCATCTTGTTTATATCTCTAAAATTCAAAATAATAAGAATTCAAATAATAATAAAGCATAAACCTTAAAAAAACCAGTTTTTTTCCCCAAATCTTTTATGCATATTCTTAGTCTAGTTCTATAATCTTTAAGCTTTGTATGCACAATTATTTGTATTGTTATTATGTTGTATGCTATATATTATAGAGAAAAATATAAAAGGCTTAGTGAAGAAAAAAGGCTGGGAATCCTTAATTTAACTATAAATTTTTAAAAAAGTACTCTGCTTTACAGGGCTCATTCTTGGTACTTTCAGATGTTATGCAATATATATATATATATAAGGAATAAAATCTTATGGAAATATGTGTGGCTACTTATATTAATTTATCTGCAGAAAAAAAACTCAAAAGTAAACTACAAAATTATCTACAATCAAAATAAGTTTAATTGTGCAGAAAAATATAGTTTTTCATGAACTGAAATTAAACAGAGTGTTTAAAAAGTTCAAATAATGTAAAGTTCAACTTATTGAGGAAAGTTAATATTGTATTTGAGTTCTGCATGTTAGTGTTTATAGAAATCAGAAGTGTGCTCTGATTTCTATAAACACGTTTCTGACTGCATTCAGAAACGTATGTGTTCAGAAATGTATGTATACAAAATGTATATAATATATTTTGATTTATTATCTATACATACAAATCATGCATATTTACTTCCTGAAAGTAGTTTATTTTCTGTTTGGTTTACTGTAACATACATACTGACATAAAATTTTGATTGAAAAAAAGGTTTCCAAGTTTACTACTCAATACATGAGTAATTTTTTCTTTCAGGCAAACGATTCTTTTTTTTTATTTACTTTATTTTCATGCGAGTTTATCACTATATGAGGAAAAAACCATAAATTAATCATAAGCATCTTCAAAAGTTTGTTAATTTTCTACACTATTTTTCTTTTCGAAACGATATTTAATATCCTCTGACATAAACAGCCTGAAATTTTCAAACAATTTTTTGGATTAAAGGCTAAAGATGAGGATAAATAACATTAATTAAAAGAAAGTTATATAATCTACATATAAACTTAGTACGAATCATTCCTTTTCTTAAATAATTGAAATTATTTTCTTTGCGACAAAGCGCTAAATATGACACATTTAAAGTAACCCTATATTTTTGCGCATGCGCAGCTTAACTGTTATCATGGGGAAAAGCACGGAATAAGTCTGTATTTAACGTCGCGTATAACGTTGTGCAGATTATATGGGTTAATGTTTAACTGGCGAGATGTTTATATTTAAATAATGAAATAGATCTATGGAAAAATATTGTGATTCTTGTCTACGTTTCGCATTGCTCTAGCTCGTGATATTTATACGAAGTATCTATTCATGAAAATCAAGTAGGACGCATCTGTTTAATAATAATAATAATAAAAAAAAAATAAAATAAAAAAAAAAAAAAACTGAAATATTAAACATGAAATAGATTTCGCAGAACATCTGTTGTTTACATTTGTCAAATTCGGCTGTCTGTGTTATTTCATAGCAATGGTGAGAGCTGCATGAATAACTTTTTTGTACACTTTATTTAGGTGATATCAGAGTTGACATGAGCTTCGCTTGTTAGGTCTGGGTCTTCTGCTGATAGTTTTACAGAAATTCTATTAATTTGCATTTTTCTGTTTTTGATAAAAGCCCATTGGAAATTAAATTTTAATTCGAGGTGCATGGAAGCTGATAATACCACGTATTGAAGTTATTATTTGTCAAAAAGCATCAAGGTAGAACAAATGTATTTATTATTTATTAAATATTGATAGTATCTTGAAAATAGATGATTTGATTAATAGACATTCTGTACCTAGGTACTTTTAAATTTGCCAAAAGTTTTATTTTGTGCCTGATCTGAACAACCGCTGACAAGGAGTCTCAGTTTAGTTCTGTTTTCATATTAGATTTCCTTACACTCGGGATATGGCAATATCCGGTAATATTATCACATGCCGGTGTTATCTTATGTTATCGCATAGCGGTGTGTTTTCAGTAACTGTGGATGTAGAAGTTGAGATTAATAGACCTTTCAAAAACTCTAAAAAATTAAATTGTTCACAATGACTGAAAATATGTTATTACACTACCAAACACCATTATCTAGTCGTTATGCAAGCGAAGAAATGTCACGAAATTTCAGTGACATCAAGAAATTTACTACATGGAGAAAACTCTGGGTATATCTTGCCAAAGCAGAAAAGGTGACTTTGAGTTCTTTTATTACTATCATTTAATGTCATAATAAAAATATAATTGCATGCCAGTACGTTATTTGGCCTGATTGCTTTCTTTTTAATGATTTAAATCGTAAATACTTACTTCTTGCATAATGAAATAAAAGTTTTAGTTTTGTTCCAGCAAAATAATTTCTTTTTTATACTACTTTTAAAATAGGTATTATTAACTTGGATTTCTGCTTTTTTTTTTTTTTTCCCCTGATCTACCACTCTTTTTTAAAATTCTTCCATATGCTCATGCACGAATGAAAAAAAATTATTGTTAACATCTCAGTAATATTTCAGTGTTTGTAACCCTTTTTGAGTATAAAAATTTATATCTAGATCTTAGGCTTAAATATTACTGATGAGCAAATTGAACAAATGGAAGCAAATATAGAAAAAATTGACTTCCAAGCTGCAGCTAAAGAAGAAATGCTTACAAGACATGATGTGATGGCACATGTTCATGTATTTGCTGCTCAGTGTCCGAAAGCAGCACCAATAATTCATTTAGGAGCAACCTCATGTTATGTTGGAGATAACACAGTAAGTTTTACATTATATCCTTTTTCTGTATATTATGATGTATTTAAATATTTTTAGGGCAACTATATTTTAAAATAATGTAAACTATAAGTGATATTTATATTAATCTATGAAACATTAGTGGTAATGATGCATCAGAAACAATATACGCTATTATAATATATCAATAACATATTACTAGTATATCAATAACATAAATTAGAAATGTTAAATGGCCCCCTGAAATTATAATTTTTATGGCCATTATAACAAACTTAATATTTTAAGCTCCATTTATATTTACTTCAACGTGAATTCAAATTTCTAGAGTTCTTTGAAATACTTTATGAATTCTGTACTAATTTCCAACAGTGCTTAATTTCTAAATTTAGAAATGCCTGAGCCTTATAGAAAGCCATCAAAAAAGGTAAACGAAATTGGTTAATCTTCGGATTATGGTAACTTGGTGATTTTTTGGTGAAAATTTGGCAACCAACCCTGCTACAGCAACCTGGTAGTTTTTTTTTTTTTTTTTTTGACGCCATTTTGTTTTTCACAAAGTAAAGGCATGTTTTTATTTTAACTCAACATTTTTCTCCAATAATCTGCTATCCGAATTACGCTTATGCTAGAATTTTATGGAACAAAAGGGCTTAATCATGACGAAGATTAGGTGCGAAATTGGGAGAAAGTGCAGAATCGCCCACTGCTTGCCGTGTTTCTAAGAATTGCACATACACGGTATCCATGTACACGTCGACCTCTTTTCACTTAAAAAAAACATCCCAGAATTGCACAAAAATGCCATTGTGCACACTCTTGACTTTATCCATGTACACTGCTAAAGTCCTAGCTAGTAACCTTTTATCGCCTTACCAAAATGTTGCCAAACTACCTGTTACCATATTCCAAAGATTAGCCCTGCTATAATATATAATTGTGCACCTCTTTTTTTATTGCAATTAGCAGTACTAAACATGTATAATTGTATATACACATATATATATTTATTCAGCCCCTTACCCGGTTTAGAAGTCTTTATCTGACCTTTATTTTCACAGTCGTTGGGCAATAGCCATATACTTCCAATTACAGAAGTGTTTTAAATGACAAAAATATTTGTATTTTGGTAATGTCAAATTTAAAATACAATCAGAAAAAAGGATGGATGAATAGAATGATATTCCAACAGTGGTTTGATATAAAATCTGTGCCTCAGGTGACAGACTTTTTAAAATCACTGGGCCTTTCTAAAAGAGCAGTGTTAGTTTTAGACAATGTGCCATTCCACTGAAGTTGATTGATGTTAAAGTCAAGATATGGACATTTTTTTTTGTAATGTAATTGCCACCTAATATGACAGCTCCAAAACTACCATTCTGCCATGTTACGTAAATTGATCAAGGAAGATATGATCTTAAAACTTTTCTGAAAAATTTTTCAACTCTGGGAGCTATCTTTGAGAGTTCTGCCACATGGCAGAAAGTGAAATCCTCAATGCTAATTAAATTTTTGAGAAAAATTCTTCCAGATTTGAAAGAATGTGAAAGTTGTTTAGATTTAGATACAGACACAGAGGGGTCACCATCTTACCTTGCTCAAATTGTTAACAATGTCCTGGTGGGGAAAATGTGGATGAAAAAAACATTTCTGAATGACTAGAGTGTGATTGCAATTTACTGTCATTCAAAACCCACATAGATGAGCAAATTGTTAGTTCTGCAAGAGGGGAAGAAGTATCAAGTGACAGCAAAGGGGAAGAGGGTAGAGGCAGGGAGCAGTTTGCTGATGATAAAGTCATGCATGGAGCTGCACTTTATTATGTTGAGTGGCTTCTGGACTACTTGAACAGGCAAGAAGATACTCTGCTGAATGACACTACACAAGATAAGATCATCAATCGTAAAAAAGCCAACTCGGTGAAGAAACAGAAATTCTGAATGATTTTTTTTATGTGAATTTGAACTGTTAGAGGGATAGTTTTTTGCCTATTTTACTGTACTGTAATTTTAGTTTGTTAATAAAGTTTATTTGAAACTTTATTAAACCACAGTTCCTGAAAGTAACATGTAAATTGCCTTGTAGCATTTTTCTTCTCATATATTATAGTTGTTTATTTTGGCCTTTCTGTACTGGATTTTACATGGCTAACCATGGTTTTGAGTTAATCTTGCTTAACCTCCCCTATATTCTCCAGTAAATTGGGACTCGGATGTACTTCTCTATGGCTAAGCATTCACCTTCAAAGAAGCTAAAAAATCATTTAGAAATACGAGGTTATTCATAATTCCTTTCAGGGTTTCAAAACACTATACTAGTAATAAAACTAAGACAAATACAGTAAAAATGAACCTTGCACTAAATACAGAAACATTTCAAATTTTTTGTTATAGCAGTTAGCAGTAGATGGCAGCACACATCTGGTTGAAAGCACTGAGTGAATCAAACTGGTGTTCACAGGTGAACAAAAAGATTTTTGTATGTTAGAATTTGCTAAATCAGAATCAGTGGTGTTGGTGCTGTGGACATTTCATACAAAATTTCGAACCCACTGACAAGGAATTCATGTATGGTACAACAAGTTAAAAAAAACTGGATGCTTGTGGTGTGATAAGCAACAAAGTTGTTGGCCAGGTTCAGTCACATAAACTGTAAATGATGTACAAGAAATGATTTTAAGGAGCCCGATAAAATCTATTGTTCATGCCAGCAGTAAATTTTGGATTTGAGCACCAACAATGTGACAAGTGGAATGCAAAACTCTACATATGAAGCCATGCCAATTGCAAATGGTGCCAACACCGACTTCGGGGGATTGCATTTCTCATATGAACTTTTGTAACAATGTCCGAGCCGATGACTCGCTGCTGCAGTAACGGATTTTTAGTGATGAATATACCTCTCACTTGCCTGGCAAGGTAAACTGCAACAACTTATGCATTTGGGGCACTGAAAGTTCTCATGCAGTTATGGAATGCTGTCGTGATTCCCTGAAAGTTGATGTGTTTTGTGGTTTTGTGCTATCTCCTCCTCACATGTCTACAAGCCATTTTTTTATGGACTGTTACTGGTGTAGTGTATATGGATATGCTACAATGTGGTTAATGCTGCAATTACATGAACATGAGGATGACAACTTGTTTTTCAATAAGATGGAGCTCCAGCCCATTTTCTGCAGGATGTGCATGAGTACCTTAACACGCAATTACCTTGTCATTAGATTGGGCCAGCTTCCGAAGATGACATATGTCTTTTGTCATGGTCTCCCATACTCACTGGATTTAACAATGTGGGACTTTTTCGTGTGGGTCTATATAAAACACTTTTTTTCTTAGTCTCTTTCTCATGTATTTAGTAGAACTGGGTGAAAGTATCACATGTGCTGTCGATACTGTTGATAGTACCATGTTGAATAGAGTATGGCAGGTACTAGACTGTCGCACTGATGTATGCCTATGACCAAAAGTTCACACATAGAAAACCTGTAAGGGCTATAAATAAAACTTGAACAAGTTCTGTATTTAGTGCAATTTTTTTTTTTTAATATATATATATATATATTGTATTTGTCTTAGTATTTTTGCTATAGCCTTCTGAAACCCCAGAGGGAATTATCAATAATCCAATACAGATTGTAATTTTAGGAAGAATTAGAATGTTTTAAAGATTTAGAATATTAAGAATTTTTCTGAAATTTTAATCATATGCTTAGATTTGATTACAATTCATATTCACTTAGCAAAATCTAAAAATATGGTATTAAATGGTGTAAAAATAATTGGTGAAAGGGAACTCAGTGCAAAGTTTTTGTAAAATTAGCCAGTAGACTAAATTTCTCAGTAACCATTATTGAAAATCATAATTTAGGTATTTTTGCATTAATTATTTTTTATTTTAGGACCTGATATTAATCCGAGATGGGTTGAATATTTTACTACCTAAGGTATGTAAATTCGAGTTTAAAAGGCTGATATACCTGAGGAGTAAATGAAATTTATGTATATGCTGTGACTAATATGAAACATTTATTTAAAAAAATATTCCACAATTATTTACTTTGATATATTGTGTACTTTTCTGTTACATCATCTATGATAGAAATAAGATTTATATACTTTAACTCTTTAACATGTGCAATATTATTTAAAAATTTTTTTAACTAAAAACTCTATAAATTGAATATTATGATTGGAGAGACAACTAATGTATGAATTTTAAAACATTTATTCTTGCCCATTGTTATGTGGGTGTGTGGTCGCACTGTGAAACCACCACGCGTCTAGGACTTTGCAACTTACTGAGGTAGCAGGAGGGGAAAACTTACCTTATTTCCATGCGCATTTCCAATAAATGGCGAAATTTACGAATTTTAAAAAAATGTATGTAAGAATTCATTATTTTACAAAGTAAATAGTCAGAAAAAATTTTAAAATAAACATTTATGTAATTTTTCTATAGCAGTGAAAATATAAGTACCTACATAATAAGGACGTTTGGCTAAATGGATTAAAAAACTCAGTAAAATAAGGATAAAAAAAGACTGTCTTTTTTTAATCCTTATTTTTTTATCCTTATTTATTAAAAAATAAAAAAAAAAGACTCAGTTTTTTTTTTTTTTTTTTTTTTTAATTTCAAAGAATAAATTTTTTTTGTGACACTGTTCAAAGCATGTTTTGTTTTTTTGGTACATGCATAGACCCACATTCCACATTTCAAACTATCTTCTATGAGGTTTCTTCCTTGTGCTACAAAATGTACACTGCCTGGATCTAAATTTCACTGGTATATGTCTACCGTTATTTAGTTTCTTTTCATCTGGCATGTGAAATTTGTGGTTTTTTATGTTAATGGGGGGGGGTTGGACTTTTTGGCTTTGGTATGGATCATTCGTTTCCCATTCATACTTATTTTATTCACATTTCGTCCCAAAATATTCAGAAAATATTTTTAATTTAAACAAAACTTTAAGCAATTTCTATTTTTAATTATAGCAAAGTATATTTATATTAAATTTAAACCACAGGAAATAATTTATAAAATCACAATACTAGCTTAGGGAGCAAATATGTTGAGGTCAGAGAAAAGTGTTTGGAAAAGAGAGACCTTTTTACTGGGCTGGTGCATGTATTGTTTAGTAATAAAATAACTGTGGTTTCAAAGCCCTTTATCTATATCCGGGTAAAAATAAACATTCCTATTTGAGAAGCAAGTGAACGCCATTGAGAAGCAAATGCCAGTGGTTTCAAGGCGCGACCACCGAGCCTCTAGAGGATTGTAAGTATTGTGACACAATGCTCTAGTGGCGCAGTGGTCGCGCCCTGAAACCACATAGCAAATGCTATACATATAGAGGTTTTTTTTATATATGCAGTTTAATTACTGCAATTTTTGGTTGATCTTTGAATTATGATAACTTGGCGATTTTTTGGCGAAAATTTGGCGACCAACTTTGCTACAGCACCCTCTATTTTTTTTTCGCCGCCATTTGTCTTCACGAAGTAAAGACATTTTCTTTCTTTTTATTTACTGAACACTTTTTCCAACAATCTACTAGCCGAATTACACTTATGCTAGAAATTTTATGTAACCAAAACTGCTTAATCATGACAAATATAACTGCAAAATTGGGAAAAAGTGCACAATCGCAAACTCCTTCTGCGTTTTCAGAATAGCACATACACATAAACCATTTACACGTCGACTTATTTTTACTTAAAAAAAAATCCCAGAATTGCACAAAAATGGCATTGCACACACTCTTAACTTTATCCATCTACACTGCCATTTTCTCATAAATTACAAAAATTTGCACGAAAATGGAAAAAAATTCTGTGAATATTTAAACTCTGTAAAAAGCACATATATGAAATTACCTGATTGCGAAAAAGTATATTCCCTTTCCAAGGATGAACATTTCCGCGTATAAAATAAATAAAATATCCAAAATCTTTTACCTCTAAATTATCTATTATATTATAAACGTCACCAACGAATTCATACCGCAAACATTATAAATGGTTACAAATACTTAGTGTCAAATATTTAAGTTATTTATATACATGTTTACTTCAACTGAAACGTATACCAAATTCCTACAAACATAAAATTCACTAGATAACTATCATTTAATTAAAATACCACTAAACCATGTACACGTCGACTTATTTTTACTTAAAAAAATATCCCAGAATTGCACAAAATGGCATTGCGCACACTCTTCTCTATATCCATGTACACTGCTTTTTTCTCAAATTAGAAAAATTTCACGAAATGCATGAAAATACTCAACTTATTCTACTCAAATGTATGCCAAAATACTACAAAACATATAACTCAAAAATCAACGATAATTAAATTAAATATAATTAAATTAAAAAACACTACTTAAAATATAAATAAGCACTTACATTAAATTAATAAGAATTAGATTACAATCCTAATTACTTTAAACTAAATTATTGCTAATAATAATTTTCCAATAATACCATATTAATTTATTTACTCCTTACATTTAGAACAATGCATAAAAATAATATCCTCAAATGATTAAAAATACTAACTTACCTAATCTTCAGAATCTTCATTACGTTGGCACGCACACTTCCACTATTTCACACAACACACAATGAAGCTTAATACAAAATAATATAATACTAGTTTTCCAAATTCCCTCCCCCTTTTCCGATTAAAGAACTGTAATTCATCCATTAATGTCACATGACATATCTCGTGATCTCTCATTTCCCTCACACAAAATAATGCGTAATCGGAACTGAGTACTTCTCACATTATTACCAGTCCTAGGTAGTAACCTTTATCACCCCCAAAATGTCGCCAAACTACCAGGTACCATATTCCAAAGATCAGCCCAATTTTTTATTGTTTATGATATAAATCATGATGTGCGATGACTAACTTTTGAAATTTAAAGTTGTTTATATTAATAAAAGGAAGTTATTTTGTTCATCAAAAACGAATTTTAAAAGGCATCTGATCTGAAGTATTAATATCTAAAACATATATGATTCTACAGTCATTTTGTTTTATTTAGATGTAAAAGATCAGTAATCAATTCATTTTCACTCAAAAAAAAATAATAATAACTCTGTGGTTTCAAAACCCCTTATCTATATCCGGGTAAAAGTAAACATTACTATTTGAGAAGCAAACGCCATTGTGAAGAGCAGTGGTTTCAAGGCGTGCCTACGGAGCCTCTAGAGCATTGTGACACAATGCTCTAATGGGGCAGTGGTCATGCCCTGAAACCACAAAGCAAATGCCATACATATAGAGGTTTTTTTTATATATGCAGTTTAATTATTGCTATTTTTTATTGTTTATGATAGAAATCATGATGTATGATGAATAACTTTTGAAATTTAAAGTTTTTTATACAGTACAAAGTCTGTAATCCGGACGTCCATTATCCAGAATGATCTATAAGCCGGACCTCAAAGCCACAAATTTTTTTTTTATGCTTTTGCGCATGCGTGTAATACGTTTAGGCATGCGTGTTTAATTTTTACGCATGCACGTTTAACACAAAAAATGATTTTATTTTATTTCCTTTTCCAGTCATGCCACTGGATGATGTCATGGCATGACTGGATTAAGCCGTTGAGGGGTTTAGTGTAAGTAATATGACATTCTTTTAAGTGTCTGTTTATATTTCAGGATTATTATTTTTTAATATTAATTTTATTTGAATTATTTTTTTATTAATTTTGAATATTGTGAATTCTCATAATTAGTATAAAAACTGCTTCATTCAGATATATCTGTTTTCAGTGATTTCAGTTTAATCTAATTTGCTCTTCCCAAATTATTTTTCTGTACTTATTAACTGCTTTGTTTCTCGCTGTAAATGAAAAACTAATCATTTATTCACTAATGAAGAGAGAAGGGAAAAATATTCCTAATACAGTCAAAAGTCGTTAATTCGGACACCCATAATCCGGAATGATCTATAATCCGGACCTCAAAGCTACAAACTTTCTGCGCATGCGTTTACGAGAGCGCGTAAGACCTTTACAGCTGCGAATGTGTTTGTGCGCATGCACGTTTAATGTGTAACGGAGTTATAAGCTAAGCTAAAATTATCTAATTCAGTTAATGTTGCAGATTGCGTTGTTCCTTAATCTTCAAATTGGATCCGGCTTATTATTTTTTGCGGACTGTTAGAGCAATTTCATAAAAAGTAAGCCTGAACTTTGATTATGTCAAATAGAATTTCCGATATATTTTACTAATATGTAATTTGTATCTACAAAGCGAAAGTATGTTTTTGAAATCCAAATCTGTTTATCAATTTCACGCTGCGTATTTGAAGATCTGTCAGCACTCCTTATTCAGGCAGAATTGTTTTTTTATTTGGCTTATTCTATAAGTGTAGTATTTCATCTCGA